TAAATAAATGTAGGTACACCTTACGTCTACATGTATACATGTATAAAACATGTTCTAAGCAGCGGGCAAATGGGGTTAATTGGCACCGATAGCGCGGCGTATCGACTGCGTATAATGGAATAATAGAATCTCTTATGTAATTGTTAGCTTGTTGCGACCGAGTAATAGAGACGGTTTAGCCATGAATGAAAAATATAAAGTGAATTAATATCAAATATACCTTTGTAAATTCTAAATATGTTTGTACTTGTTACGTATTTTCATCGAGTCGAATCTGTACATTAAATATTTTATGGAAAATCTTATTGAAGTAGTCATCATTAGATACAGAGGCCGAATCTATAGTTTTTAGAATTTTTGCCTGTATGTCTGTCTGTCTGTTACCGCATCACGGAAAGACCACTGGAGGGATTGATGAAATTTGGTATGATGGTAACCGGTTATCCGGGTAATCCGTATATAGGATACTTTTTACTGATGACTTTCTCATATATGAGAAATCTACACTAAACGTTAAAACGTAAGTAGGGACGAACCCGAGAGGAGCGATGGTGAGTGACAAACTAGAGTTTTGAAATAAAATTTTATTTCAAAATGCCCTATACTGTTATCAATTTCAGTTTAAATGTAAATATACCTGCAAGTCGCTACGCCACTTTCCTTTTCACGGAAAAGTCTCGAAGCATCGTTGCCTCCGCTCCTACTACCTATTCTGTCAATCGGAAGCATTGTAGGTCGACTGAAAGCAACTACTTGAGCTGCTTTGAAAGCTCTTTGCTTCACTGAACAAATGTGAAGTCAGTCATATTCTTTAAGCCTAAATATTTACATATATAAAGAAAAGCTTTTTAACGAGAAATAAAATACTCGTATAATGAACTATTCATACATAAAATAAATATGTTTAACTAAGCTATAAATATAATTTCAATAAAAATATAGACTTATCTCAGTTATTATAGTGAATATTGTACAGTATAAATATTACTAATTTGAAGACTAAGGACTCCGTCTTCAAAACTACCGTAAACGTGTTTTTTGTAAGCATTTGAAATTAAATATTAAAATTATTTTTGTAATGGTTGGTGCAGAAAACTATCATTTGTGCCCAATATAATCGGATTTCATACCACGAGCGGAATGCAGTGGAGCTAATCTCATCGTGCCTGAAGGCTTATAGTTGGAGCTTACGTGTTTTTCAACACGCTTTTATTAGCTTTACCTGTATCTATTTATTTATGTAACGGAATCTTTGAACGCAATTTCTATCAGTTTCAAAACTTCATATTGAACTGAAACTGTACATTTAACAAGGACCGATGATAATTTATAAAAATATATTTAATAAACTAAAAAAAAACTCACGTTAATAGCAGGTCAAACTAAAAAATGGAAAATAAATTATAGTTTAAAAACTAAAAAAAAATCAATTTTTAATAATGAACCGAACTCAAAAGTAAAAAATAATTTTTAGTATAAGAATTAATTGATTAACGAAAAATTTAATGTTAATATAAAAAAGTGTAGAGTGCTTGATATTTGTTGTTATAAAATATATTCCTCTAGTACGATTTCTGAAAGTAGAGTATAAATATATTATATAAAGCACCAATAACATTAATTTTCTCGTTAATCACTTTATTCTTGTAGATACTAATAATTATTTTTTACTTCTTAGTTCGGCTAAACTATAATTTATTTTCAATTACGATGAAAGCAGGAATATTGCTATTTATTTGTCTATTATTACAAGCAGTGTAAGAGTATGGTTAAGCAACTATTGCATGTGTTATTAAAGACTGAGTTACTGTGTTCAATATTTTAGATTATTGTAATATTTTAATACAAAAATTATTATATATTCTTTTAAATAGAATGACTAAATGACTGATGAATGAAAACTTGTATAAGATATAGCAAAATTAATTTCATCATATTACATTATTGATATAGTTTTTAATAATGGATTGAAAAATTCAAAAGCTTCTTTGCTATAATTTTATATCTAATATATTTAAATATTAAAATTAGAAATAGGAATTAATATAAAAATATTTCAAATTGAATTTGATGATTTTCCTTGAAACTTTTCCTTCAAACTTTCAGGGCTTCTTATCTATATATTATGTACGTCGAATAATTATTCAAAACAACAGACATACGCGTAAAACGTAGACTTAATTTTAACTAGATATAATATCTGCAGCTTTTCATGGCTTCAGCTCGGGTGTCAATCGATCAATTAAAATAAATCTTAATTATGGTTTTAATTACTGAAATTATCACTTATTGTAAATTAGTACTGTACATTAAAAATTCGGCCAGTTCTTGTCCAATTACGCTAAATTAAAAACAAAAACCAGATTTGCTTTGATGACGTAATAACATTGTTTAATAATATATATATATATATATATATATATATATATATATATATATATATACTCGTATATATATAATATAATAAAACAGTAGAGGTCGAATGTCTGTACATAGCAAAAAAATGCTAAAGACCGAGTGGGAGGGGGATGTAAGAAGACAAATAGAACAAATCCAGATATTTTTCAATTTTTTTGTTTCTGTCTGTTTGTCTGTTTGTACAGGCTAATCTCCGAAACTGTTGGACCGATTTAAATGAAATTTTGCATAGTGGTAACTTATATCCCCGGTCAACATCTTAGATACTTTTTATCCCAGAAAATTAAAAAGTTCCCGTGGGATAGTTAAAAAACTATAGTTTCTTATACAGCTTAGTACACAACAACTTATGCATTTAATTTAGTAAAATTTAACATTCTGATACCTTATATTTCCGATCTAACAACAGGTTACTTTTCATCCCGGAGAAATGAACGGTTCCCGTGGGAATTAATAGATCTCTATTCGTGTCTTTCTAGAGGCGAACCCGAGCGAAGCGAGGGTGAGCCGCTAGTATATACATATAATAAAATTCTAGCTGAGCCGAATCTGTACATTAAATAGTTTTTGGAAATTTTTTGGAAAAAAATTGTAATAGACGTTATTACCTATCGATACAGAGGCCGAATCTATAGTTTTTAGAATTTTTGTCTGTCTGTCTGTTACCGCATCACAGAAAAACCACTGGAGGGATTTTGATGAAATTTGGTATGGTGACAGCTGGTTATCCGGGTCAACTGGTTAACCGGGTACTTTTTAGCGCGGGAAACAATCTCATTTCTGAGAAAAAAAAAATACGAAAACTTTGTAACTTAGCATATTAATGCTCTTACAATGCAGTTTTTGTATTTCTTCTCAGAAATGAGATATTTTCCCGCGGTAAAAAGTATCCTATATATTGACCCGGATAGCCAGCTATCATCATACCAAATTTCATCAAAAACTGTCCAGTGGTTTTCTCGTGATGTGGTAACAGACAGGCAGACATACAAAAATTCTAAAACTATAGATTCGGACTCTGTATCGACAATAATGTCTATTTCAATTCGATTTTCCAAAAAAATTTAATGTACAGATTCGACTTAGTTAGAATTTTATTGTATGTATCGAGAAATAATCTTAAAAGTAACATTTTTTAGCAACATATGATCAAGCAACCGACCGTCTTTACGCATTTAAGCTATATATTCGACTGGCACTAACGATCTAGACGGAGATTGCAGGCTTAATCTCGCAGTAAATACTTGTTTTGGTCACATAAACGATTGTTAGGGACTGTTTAAACAAAAGCGCGCCAAGGGGAATCGCTCTTCACTAGAATTAACGGTGTAGACATAAGCGAAAAGCGGAGAAATGAGAGGCGTTAGTGTGCTGTCTTTGTCTAGTAGGTAAGAGAAAACGCGACAAACTATACCGACTGTATAGCCATACAGACTGGTAGAGAGAAAAATAAAATTGAATCATTTTATTTATCAAGCGGTTTTTATCACAGCTTTATTATATTTTTAGGATATTGAAAATCATGTCACAAGAAGATAATATCTTTCTATTATCACAAAAAAACACTTTTCTTAGCATAATATAAAACATGATTAATGAAGCGAGGTCATAATTTGCATCGTATTTAATATTGAAATAGTTGTATTATACTTAATTTTTTGATTCAATTCCAATGAAAAGTATGTAAACTTAATTATGAATTATGTTTAATAAGCAAGTTGTGCCTTTAAAGAAATAAAGAAAAGAGTTTTCAAAGTATATTTTTTTGAACAAGATTAATGTCAAGATAGAGTTTTTTTTTTATCTTCATCAATTCGGTGCCAATAAAGTGATATAATATGTTAATAAAACATAATAGAATGCTGATTATAGGATATAATTAAAAATTAAAATGTGTATATGCTAACCTAACCTAGAGGAAAATTGCTGGGTGCAAAACAAATATGATAAGCATGCGTCATTGTAATCTATTATCTTTCTAGTACGTACCTAAGTTCTTAAGTTCTTATACGTTTTTTTGGCCATTTTTAGCTTCCACTTTCCTTAGCTTATAGTCATAAACGTTTTAGCGTTACATGGCAAAAGACAATGAAATTAACAAACATACAAACCTTTTGTAATAGTATGATGATAAAAATATTTTATTTTTGTATATATATTGTTCTAGTATGGGAAAATAATAAACTACATCGCATGCGCATAGCATTACAACTACATAATGTTTCAAGAATATAATTCGCAAAATGATATATTTGCATTCGCAAATGACAAAGCTTATGATTTATTTATTACTGGAGTAAGTTTTCTTAGAATTATTGTAACTTTAAAAAAAATTGAAGAGTTTCTTTAACCTTAATCCAACTTAATTCGACCTTCCTGAAGGTGTAAAACCTTTTTGTATATGACGTGTTGAGTATACAATAGATATTGTACATTGCTTTTCATTATAATATAATTAAGTGATATGTCATTGGAGATATAGACTGGGCTCTATGCATTTTTACTAGTGATGCGGTCTGGGTTCCGAGCAAAAGACAATAAGGCAATAAGAGAAACGGGAAGAGGGAGTAACAAGTGCTCACCATTGTAGAGGAGAGTGGGTTCCGGGTCGCGCGGTGAGGGCCCCGGCGCGGTGGCGGCGGGCGCGGGGCTCCGGCCGCGCCCCTCACCGACCACGTCGATCTCCTCGTCCGACTCGTCCCCCGGCTGGGTTGTCGGAGCCGCCTTCCACTTCTTGGCCATGAGGCAGCGCGGCATGGCGGCGCCTGCATCGGCCTCAACGCGACCGCATTAGCGAAAAACAGACGAACAGAGAAAAGAGAGAAGAGAGAGAGTAGCGCCCCGGGCGAGCGGCGGTGTTGCGATCGCGCGTCCTCTTGCGTTGTGAGGGTGCAGAGCGCGACCGCGGTATATATGGCCCGAGGGAAGTGCGCGCGCCGCCACTTCGATCGATGTGGGCGGCGGGTGGATGCCATGCCGCACAAACTTTGCTGCCAACTTGAGCGATACTTACGGTACTCGCAATCAACCAGTGGGAACAGTGCGGATCTACGTCGTCACGCCACCCGCCGTCTCCGCGCTCCGCACGCTCATATGCATTACTTACCATTTGCTCGTAAACTACTAGAACCAATGTCACGACACTTTCACGAGTTAACAAGTTTTAGGGTAATTTCATTTTTTTATTAAAATTCTTGAATAAAAAAAATATTTATGGAAAGGTTAAAACAAAAATTTAAATAATAATATCTAACACTAACGTTACTTATAATACCGTTAAATAAATGTATGTAATTTAAAATAAATTATAGTATTATTGTTATATTTAAATTACAATTAATTTTTGGCCAATGTAAAGCATATGGCTTAACCAAATAATTTTTAAGGGTTCTTTTGATTTAAATGTTATTTTCATTGGTATTGGCTTTATGAGATAAGCTAAGTATATATATATATATATATATATATATATATATATATATATGTGAAAACATTTCCTTGCATTAGCAACCCAGTACAATAGAAACAAGAGACAAACGTTAAATTAGGCGAAACAAGTTTCGTGTGATGTGTGTATCTAACCTTAGATTTGAAACTATAATAATATATTTTATTTGAGTTTACTAATAGACTTCTCATCAACCACAGGCCGTGAAGAATTAAATAATCTGCTCATTTTTTGTTATTTCATTGAAGGGAAATTTATCTCAGATTGTTATGATATTTCAATTCGTAATATTGATTTAATCGAAATAAATTACATGAAAGGCTTGATAATCTCATTAAAACTTCATATGTATATAAAACATAATGAATTCCAAGAAATATGATTATTAATAAATTAAGTAATATAAACTTAAAAAGTTTTTAATCGCGGGTTATATCTTTCACAAATCAACTTTAATGTATTTTTCCATAACTTTGAGGAGATTTTAGTTATAAATTATATCCGCAGTTTAAATCAAAATATTAAAAAAAAAAATTTTCGGGTAAAATATTAAGTATCATACGTATTTATGTATGTCTATTGCCTATACTGTATTATTTTATTTTAATATTCTATAATAAATAAAAGAGTATTATAATATAATAAAGAGTAAATATTATTTATTTTATCATTTTTATGTTAGGTTTTATATCATCTTTAAAATACTCACTGTTCTGTGGTTACCGCATCGGTTTCATTGGTCTGCTACTTTTTCCTTTATGGCTCCTAAGTGAGCCATGAAGTGCCCTACAATAGCGTGGAACAACCGACTATGACTGAATAGATTTCATTCACTACGCACTACATTACATTCCTATACATGTACCTACATTTATGGGGATGTAAAGGTTTATGTCAAAATTAAGCCTTAATTTAAAATATTTATTACTTTTAAAACAAATTTCAACAAGTTCCCATTTTATGAAAAAAAAAAAGATTTTTTTAAGCGATATTTTATTTGTGGATGTTATCTGTAATGAAATCACTACAAAAATAAGAACCATGTACTCGTAAGCATCCTAACATTTTATTTAAACATATAAGGCTGTTTTCTAAGTTACAATACTTGTTGCATAACTAGGTAGAATTCACGTTATCTCGGTTAAACTGCACGTCTAAACCAACTAATTATAAGATCTTATTCTATGTGCCCTTTATCTACATTGAGTGCAGAATACCACGAAGGTCGTTGTTTAAAGCTTCTATAACTATTAATTTCATATCAGAAGATTTACAATATGTATCAAACTTATCAAATATTGTTCAACTAAATTATACTTCTGTTGTAAGTAAAAGTAGAATTAATATTTAAGAACATAAAATTTGTGAGATCACCTTAATTTATTTTCTTCGTCAAATTTTATCTTTTTAAAACTACTTAACGTTGGTGTTCATGATTTTATTACTTCAGGATATACTAAATTTACAAACAGACCGTTCAATTTAAATATTTTATTAATCATTTGAGATTCTATAAAAGTCGTACGACTAATCTAGAGGCCATAATTATTTTTGATAATTATACATTGAGAAATACCATCTACCGGACGTAGCTGAAGACAGCTTCCGGTTGAATCGTGGACTTTGTACAGTTTGTAGTAGAAGCGTAGAAGCAACGCTTCCGAACGTAGTGTCGCGTAGAACAGGGTCCGACACGCTCCGAGATAGTGCTTCTCAATTTCACATAATAGGTATGCAAACGTAGATAACTTTATTATATTTGGGAAACTCGTGAATTTCACTTGTATATTTTTGATTTGAATTTTTTGTATGTTTACGAAATGTTTATACGAACAAACTATTAAAAATTTACTGTTTCCCCAAATATATTTATTTGTTTGAAACGTTTATATAGTTACATGGTATTTATTACATCTAAGAATAATGGGTAAATGCTACAAAACATCTTTACAGATTACATTATATGGTACATGTTAAAAAATGTATAATTATGTTTTTTTTGTCGCACGTTGACATTTATGTTATTACAATATTTCATATAAAATGTACAGTGATTGAGTATGCTTAACTACTGTGATTTGACACGTACATACATACATATAAAAAGTGCTTGTCAAAAGTAACGTAATATGATTTCTCATTCTTACTATTAATATATTTAATGTATTATTTAACAAGTCGGTGTTTAATTATATATAATACGTAAATATTTCATTAATAAAAAAATGGTATATCAAGTATATTTAATTATTTAATAAAATTATTATGTAATATATTCATTTGTTTGGTAGATACTCCCAGTTCATAATCGTTGTAATTTTGCCAAGGTGCGTTATACACGAAACTTGTATAAATATAACTGTACTTAAATTGCAATCCGCAAATATTCGTTGTTGATATTGTAGTATATTATATTTGTAGGTATCTATAAGAAAATATTATAAAGTATCTATCGATTATAAATATATTTATATCGTTATTTAATTTGTGACTCATGATCTTTTTAATCTATTTTGATGTTCTGTTTACATTCAATGTCCATCCCATCGATTAAAACTGTAAGTAGGGGATTATTAATTTAACAGCTATACATTTGTAGCCAGGTGACTAACTTCGATAAGTGTGAAAGCATAGATTAAATAATAATAATAATATTCTTCATTTCTCACCACAAACCAAATTACAAATTAACACATACATATATCAATGACAAAGTTCTTGGTTTAGCATAAGCTGGGTGATACAAAATTTGGTTGTGGATCGCTCTATCCATACTAATATTATAAATGTGAAAGTGTGTTTGTTTGTTTGTCCTTCTCTCACGTCGAAACGGAGTGACGGATTGGCGTGATTTTTTGTTATAGCACATTTCAAAAAAATATTTATGATCAGAATTACTTGAAACTTGGTATTAATGCTCCTCAATAAACACGTGTTTTAGCATTTTTCGAAATTTATCCTAAAAGGGGGTAAAATAGGAGATGAAAGTTTGTATGAAACTACCTTTTTAGAGTTTTTTTTTGTATTATTAGCGCGAGCGAAGCCGCGGGTTCTGCTAGTAAAATATAAATAAGTCTCGAAGTTCTCAAGTAATCTCAATATTTGCAGGAAAATTAACTGTCACAACAAGAAGAGAGCTGTTAGCAAAGTGTGTTACGAATTCCTATAAGAAAGAATTACTAATTTTAACAATAATAATTACTAAGGTGTTTAAGATTGGCGTTTTTTCAAAAATATAACGTACATAAACACATTCAAAAATATAAAAATATAACGTCTTAAATATTTTTGCAGTAATTTCCAAGCATAATTTTATATTTGCTTTTAGTATTTATTTTTAATGCGTACATATAGCAAAGTTGATAATACTTTAATAGCAAAAGCCGTATTTAGTGGTATGCGCGTGAGTTTTGTTATAGCTGTTTTTCGAAATGCCGCATATTGATGGTTGATTTACAAAATATCTTAAAGTCTGTAAAAACAATATTAATTTTCAGTTACTTTTTATATATTTTTTTCTCTTTTAAATACTCACGTTAGCTTGATTTTAAGTAAAACTGATGCACTTGTGATCGACATTGATATTTTTAAATTTTGGCGAGAATACAGTAAGTCTTGAGATTTGAATATGCATCAAAATATAATTGATTACCTTACGAGCAAATATTATCATATAATATAAAATAAAGTAAAATATATTACAGTAATTAAAATATTCTTATTATAGAATAACAATTTTGATAAAAGTTTTCACAATTTATAAACTATGAAACCTATGAATACAAGGTAAAATATAATTGATCCTTATATCGTCTACAGAAAATTGTACAGAAAGTATTGCTTTTGATTTCTCTTAATATTAAGTTCTACACAATATGCTTATAATACCGGTGCAATCCTCACAGATAATGACTTAGAATGTAAGAGTATAGCTAGTTACATTTAAATATTTTTATTTCGTACATGGCAATTTTGAATAGTGCAGTAACATTCAAATACATTATGCAACAAAAAATGACTAGATGTATAATATAAATAAGTAATGAATTTGATTCTGCCAAATATTTTAAGATAAATATATGAGCAAAGGTAACCCACAGAAATGGTTAAACTTTACTAGAAACTTTTTTTAGAAATCATACTACATAACATTGTAGCGATTGCTACAGCATAGATGCTCTGTGCAGTGTGCAGTATAATATAACTTCTCCGTAGGCCGTCAAAAAGTTAAATCATAAATTTACTCGCATAAGCTGCTTACATTGTTATATCAAAATCTTCAACATTCCTTCAATCTTTTTCAGTTATACTGAAAAGACGATAGAAAGTGTATATGCATTAAATTTTCTCGGAATTGCAGAAAGTCATGTCGACTGTCTCGTAACACTCGTTAGCGGAGTAAAATTTATCAAACAACTTGAACTAGGTGCGCCGTCGCCGCCTGTTGCCTTGCTCGTAAAAGGGAACTACATTTTAATTCAGGTAAAGCAGTATAAGTTGCACATTTTACTTTTAAAGTACGGCATTGTAAAAAATCCCAATAGTATGGCAGTTCTACGGGAAAAGGATTGAAATGCTAAAAACATCTGTGTATAAATATTTATTTTAGCATGACAATTCGTGAGACTTTTTCTTTTGGCAATGAAATAGTACTCCGGAGGGTGTCAAAAGGAGGTAACGTAACGTGTGTACGTGAGGTCGGCGGGCGGGCACTCGCCGAGTCGAGTACCTTAAGAGGATATCGCGGACACACCGCATTGAGGGCGACACGAATTCGAAGTTTGGAAGACTTCACTTGATGATTTGAGTTCTTTACTTCGGTTCTTCAAAACTTACTTTTACATTGATACATCAACACAGCTCGCTTCTATCAGTCTTTTTATAGGTTCATTCAGAAACCGTATTCAATATTTATCTTATTTTACAAAACTAACTTTTCACAATGTCAGAAGCCCCGCAGCTGATTTCAAAATTGACCGCGTTTATAACCTACAATTTAGGAATTCCCAACTAAAATTATATTTAACTTACTACACTAAGCTACTTAAATGATATATTCGAAATATTTTTATGAGAAATTGACAAATGATTATGAAATTGACAGAATATTTCTAAAAAGTGATGCTAAGTGCTCGAGTTCATAACCCTAGTCTAATTTTAAAAATATCTATCATTAAAATATACATATAATATTACATTGCACATTAAATGAACAATTAGCTTTCTCATGTGGCTTATAAAATGATCTAGAAAGCTCAATATTTCTAAGATTTATTTTATGACACGTTTTAGTGGACTAGATGTGACTAGAAATGTTATATAATTATCAATACTTTGTGTTGTCTTTTAGCAAAAATGATTTCTCTTTTATGTAGATTAATAGAAAATGTTCAATTACCGTATTTGAAAATTTAAAAAAAAAGTATCCTTTCCTACAAAAAAAATATTTTGGACTTAATTATGTTAGTAAAAGAAAAATTGTAGTGGACGAACTTTACTTCTAATATTTTTTATTATTATTTGGCCAAACTATGTACTTTCCTATGTCGTCTAATGGTAACACTGAAGACGACAAAAGTCATAAATAATAGACAGTACTGAGACTCTCAATTGGATAACATATAATAAATTTGTAACGTGAATAAATTTTGATAATTTTATACAAAAAGTTCGTTGAGGTATCGTACTTTTGACATATTTGGTATTTACTTTGGTTAAAATCATAGACGTAGAGAAGAGACTGAACAATACTCTCATGAAATTGACTACTCTCTAGAAAGAAAGCAAGCGACCGTGCGGCATGTCTTATACTGTAATTTGAATTTATAGATACAATGTAAAAAAAAACTATAATATTATTAAAAATTATAATATAATGGAATGTAAAACGGTTCTAAATATTTATATTCATTAATCGTACTTCAATTGATACAGAAGACTTCTGGCCGTACATTCGTTTTGTCTCTGTCGCTTTATCGCCATTTTTAGCTGACAAAAAAGCATTCAGTCCACTTTCTATGTCTATGGTTAAATTAATATACATACATATAACTATTATAGTTACTTCAAACATTTAAATTTTTAAGATAACTGCGAGTTATTTTTGTTTGAAATTGACTTAAGAATATGACAAAATACAAAGAAAATTGAAATATACCATATTCATAAATGTATTGGCCTATTGTTATATTGTATCAATATCCACATTTGTAACCTTAAACTATTAGGAAATTATAACTAGAGAAATTTCTCATCCTGTTTTTACAACCGTGTTTTGATTAACCTTTAATGCCACCTAAGTATCTAAACTATACAATTAATTATTAATATACTATATTATCACGCTGTGCTTTTTATTTTATAAACTTTTGTTAAGCAACTCATGCATCTTTCGTCTTTGGCTTCGTAGATAAAAGAGGCTATGAAACGTTTCGAGAATTCATTTCATTAACATTTATGATATACATAGTGTCTTATATATATATAGCTTAGTACTAACAGGATTTATGAGTACATCACAAATACTGTCCCTTCTAGACATACTACGCATCTATAAAAATATTTTCATCAACAGGTGTTCTCGTACATTTTTTTCATTTTACACTTTAACTGCGCAACCGCTTTTTAAAATGTTTTGGTAATATAAAATAATTAATAATAAAATGTATGTAATAGACAAGTAAAAAGTTCGTAGCATTCATGTTTTATTTGATGATTGTACATTATAATCTATCTTATTCCTAGCTCCCTTAATTCTATATTAGCGTCTTAAAACCTACAGCTTTCGAACAGCAAAATATGTATACTAAAAGTTATCCTAGCATCTATGATTGAGAGTCAAAGTAATTGTAGTATGTTTTTTAAAAGTAAAAGCATAAATAAAACCCACGTGACTGACGCTTGCAAACAAATAAAATTGACTTAATGCGCTTAAATAATCGCATCGGAATTCCGCTTTGACATTCATTGAACAAATGAAAACAGCGGTGAATGTTTTACGGTCATAAAATTGGATCGACGTACCTTGATTAAATTCGAATCAATTTTCATAATTGATGCACTCATGTAAATTTTTTATTTGTCGCTGTAAAAACAAAATCTATAATCAAATTGATTCTTGAAAAAGAATAATTTTGCACAAAACAAGACTGATGGCCGATTTCACCAACGTCACCTAAGTTTAAGGGATCCCCTAAGCATGGCTAGGGGGTTGTTAGGAGACAGTTTCTGTTTCACCGATAGTTAGGGGTCACCTAGATATAGATACTAGAAATACGGGCTCTGACGATGGTAAAACAAAATTTAATTGAGGGGCTAGTTTAGGGGAACTTTTAAGCTAGGGATCCCATACGTAGGTGGTAGCCTATGTGATGTTGGTGAAATCGAACATGAATCCCCCGAGAAACAAAAACACAAGTATTGGATATAGACTGGGATCTCTTTAACTAATTTTTAACGTGATCTGCTCGGATACTAATTCTAATTAAAACATTTATTTGTTAAGTATCAAATGTTTGTAGCTAATTGTTACACTGATTACTTTTTACGTAACAGAGTACTGTAAAAATATAGCTTTTAATCGCTAATAAGCGTAATTCTAATTGTATATAATATTTCTGTCACAATATTTATTATTAATAAATTCATATTATTTGTAAATTAATATGTATTTTTATAAACAGTATGACAACTTTCTCCCTGCTGTAATAAATGCATGAAATTGATGTTGAAATGTTTTGACACTTTTACAAAAATATTGGACACAAAATTAAAATATTAATTTTATTTAAGGCAGTTGATAATGATTGTAAGTAAAACAGAGGAAATACTGCCCAGTATTTGAATGTCGGTAATATTTATTTTTATATAGCAAATGGATTTCGCGTAGTAAACTGTAAAATTTCAATAATTGACTAGGTTAAGTACTAGGTATAAATTTATCGAAATTAAGCATCATTATTACAATTAGGGTAAATATGTAGTAAATGAATAAAACATGTAAAAATTTATGCAAATATGTACATTATCAGGCCTCTGGTACCTAACAACTTATTATAAAAACTTAAAAAGGGAGTGATAGCCCAGTGGAAGGCAGTGGTAAGGGTAGCCTAGTGGTAACGCACTCGCTTGGGAAACCGAGTGAAGTGCGTTCAATACCCGGTTCACGCACCTCTGATATTTTCATGTGCGAATCATTTTCAATATGATTACCACTTGTCTTAACGAAGGAAAACATCGTGAGGAAACACTTGCAAAGATTCAAGTCAATATGACAATTAGGAGTAGGTTAAATTCATGATTAGCCATTTTTTCAACCTTAGGGGTGGAATATTTTTTGAAATTTTAATGGGTCCAATCTGGAAGTATACACTTTCAAACAAAACAGAAATTGTCCAAATTGGTTAATAAATGACGGAGTTCTGAGGTAACAAACATAAAAAAAAATGCAGCTGAATTGAGAACCTTCTCCTTTTTGAGGAAGTCGGTTGGAAAGAAAGGAATATGTTTCAGACTAGCGATAGATCGCTAATTAAAATAATTTGATTTTTTAATAAACCAGACGTTATTGTATTGTTTGTTACAAATAATTAGAATTAAACATGCAGTAATCGTTAGCATACTTTTTGTAACATATAAGACGTGACTTTATTTGATTTGTTTAATAATTAATGAAATAAATATTATGCATGACTTTGACTTATCCTGCACTCTTGCAGCATAAAAATAATGTGAAAAGTAATATAAAACAAATTTAGTAGCGATAAAGTCTTAATTAACATTATTTATTTTAAATATGTCATTGTGGTATAAGAATTTTAATCATTCGAAGAGGCTGTACGGTGTTATAACATAATTTAATCAAATTACCATATTGTGATTTTAAGTTTTGAAGTATGCACGTTTGCAATGCTTAATATGACTCAACTTGCGTTTTTTCATGTTATCCGAGCAGATCATATTATTAAAACGATTTCAACCTAGGTTCCCTATCTATAAAGCGTATGCTGTGAGGGCGAAGGTGGGAGGGCGTGAGGGTTCGTGCAGGGAGGCGCGGGGCCAAGCGTGCCGGGCAACAGTTTGGTCCTTCCACGGCGTGGACGCCGCCCACGGAGCTACTCGCTAGTGTCTACCAACGCACGCTAATCGTGCACCTATCGCTTTCTTCTACTCACATTATTTTATTGCTCTCTTTGTACCACAGCTCGACGGTTTCATTAAGTCTCTACGTATCACCGTAACTACTATCTAAATCGTTATACGCCGCTCACGTGGCGCTAGCTTACCTTATAATTAATAATTACTACGTATAATAAATTACGTTAATAACATTGCAGGCTCTTGCCATAAATTGACATGATTAAATCCGTCGAAGCTGGATCTCATTAATCTGAAGAATATGTTTCTTTAACACATTATAGAAAGAGCCATTTTAATATTAGGTACACAATTATTGCTTATCATTTTTTATGCCGCCGGCAATTCGCCTTAACTATATTCTTTTGTTCCAATATAAAGATGTAAAGAAGTTCATAGAGAAGTTATTCGTTGCAATGTTTCTTCGTCGTCACGCTCTCACTCGTTCTCGCAGCGTAGGCACGCCGTCTCTTGGTGCTTGGTGAGGTAGCTCTTCAGAGCAAAAGTCTTGTGACAGCGCGTGCACTCAAAATTTCTGTCCGCCGAATGCGTCTGGAGGTGGGCTCGTAGGTTGGAGCGATCCGCGAAGGCCTTGCCGCAGCCCGGGACGGGGCAGTCATAGGGTCTCTCGCCCGTATGCGAGCGTAGGTGCCCACGTAGCAGCCACGGTCGCGAAAACTGTTTGCCACATACCCCGCACACATGCCCCATGCGATGCGTCAACACGTGCATCGCCAACGCCGGCATGGAAACGTACGCCTTCCCGCAGTCTTCGCAGCGCTTAGCATCGCTCGAATCCAGGCTGCGATGTGTTTGCTTGTGACGAGAGAGATTGGATGAGGTGGCGTAGCATTTGCCACACTCGTTACAGTCATACTTGTCCGGTTTCTCCCTGGGCCGGAAAGGCGATCTTATTATTGCAGGTTTGGGTTGCCGCGGTGGCCTGGGCGGTTTGGGCGGTGGAGGCGGAGGTGGCGCTTGGGGGAGCTGCTCGATGATGGGCACCGTGACCGGTATCGTCATCTGCATCGGTATAGGCATCGTTTCCACGAATTGAAATTGTGGCTCCGGGATAGGTTGATAAGCGAGATAACTTACTTGCGGTTCAACCATGTATTCGAATTGTGGGAGTGGGGCGACCGTGGGCATAGCATAGATGGGCTCGGGCGGTTCCTCGGTGATGATGTATATGTTAGTAGGCTGTAAGGTGTAGGTGTAGACGGGGACAATGGGCGGCTCTGGCGGTTGCAGTACGGTGACGACGGCGGCGGGCGGCAGCGGCGGCACGCCCTGCGCGAGCGAGAGCAGCTCGTGCGCCGCTTCCGTGTCCGCCGCCGACCGTTCCGACACCGGTGTGCTAGCGAGCTCCGCATATTCAGCCGGACGAGGAGGAGGGTCTGTAACAATTGTACACAATAGAAACGTGATAATAAAAATAAGAAAATAATATTTATTTTAACCTTTTAAAAATCGGAAATGTGCAAGTCTGACTACCACTCCGAGGGTTTCGAAACGTGAGACATTGAAATAAGTTTATAAGCGCAAAAAGAAATAGTTTTCAGATAGTTCCCGTTACTTGTGTTGCCAAATTTTATAATTCTTCGTCTACCGGAAGTAGCCTATAATAAGTTTTGATTCCTTTGCGAGTGTCAAAATATGCGATATAAACGGTCGTATTAATTATTGTAGATTGCTTTGACTGAGAAGTTTGAATTTTTCACAGCTTCAAGGGATTGCACACCTGAGTATTTGATATCAATTTCAACTTGATACCTTTATGCGTTCCTGAGAATAAGGCTATTGACAGACAGACAAAAAGAACGGGCAACGAAGTGATCCTATAAGGGTTCCTTTATTCCATTTGGTACACGGATAAACCGGCTTTCAACCTTTGACCTCCAATGGCTTGTGACACGGAGACGAGATTACGTGGTGTTCCACTATACATAATACCAATATATGGGAAGGGTATATACAAATTTTCAGCTTATTACCTTTAATTCCGAGGTAGTTAACCTCTTTGTTATCTTATATGATTGTACTAACAGGCTTTTTGCACAAATAGTTAATGGATATAATAAAAAATAGTGCAATATTTTGGTATATTCCATTCAATACATTTAAAAAAAGCATCTTTATTAATTATTTATAAGTAACAGTTTACTAATAAGTTTTAGCATTATATTATACAGAGCTTTGCAAAATAAAGTAAAAAAGCTAAATTTATTTTTACCCGATTGCAAAGAAAGGGTTATGTTTTTCGCGCCTATCTTTGTATGTTTGTAATATTCTTTATTCTCATTAGCCCAAGTATTCTTAGATAGGTGACATAAAAAATTATATATGGGTGCTGCTAGATTCCATAATGTGAAAAAGAGAAAAATGAAAATCGACGAACTATGTCAAGTGGGTTCGTTGAATAAGTATTTAAAAATCGTTTTTAGGTTTCTTTCATCATTTTTTATTTTAAATAACAGTTTAGGATATACATATAATGATTTAAAGTTGGTCAACAACCATTCTCGCTAATTTTTCTACTTAAAAATACTTAAAAAGGTGTAAATAAATAAATATATTATAAAAATAAAAAACCCGACTGCAAAAATGCTAACTAAAAACATAAAAACAAGTTCACGATGGAATATAGTATTATGCAGTCGGAGACATACATACGAGTATGTACATCTCGCGGCAAGTAACGAATGAATGAAACGTAAACGAATGTCTCGGACTGCATAATACTGTATTCCATCGTAAACTTGTTTTGATCTTTTTAGTTAGCTTTTATTCAGTCGGGTTTTTTTATTTGTATAATATACTAGCATTGCCGGCGGCTCCGCCCGCGTTCAGATAACCAAAAACCAATTTCTTAGGTTTTACATATTAGTACACTCTTACAATGCAGTTTTTGTATTTTTTCTCAGAAATGAGATATTTTCCCGCGGTAAAAAGTATCCTATATCTTGACCTGGATAACCAGCTATCATCATACCAAATTTCATCAAAATCTGTCCAGTGGGTTTCTCGTGATGCGGTAACAGACAGACAGACAGACCAAAATTCTAAACACTATAGATTCGGACTCTCTATCGATAATAATGTCTATTTCAATTAGATTTTCGAAAAAATATGTAATGTACAGATTCGACTTAGTTACAATTTTATTATATGTATAGATTTTGTTCCACACGTAACAAATTGAGCCTGAAACTTCATAAATGTCAAGATGGTAGTGGCAGTAATCGGTATAACTAAAGTGCAAGGCACATGAATTCTAATTTTTGGAACGAAGTTCGTAACGTGGCTTGTGGTAGGGAGTTGACAGGTCGTGGTGGGGGGACTCAGTAGTGCCCGGCAATCCAACCGGGCGCGAATCTAAGAAACGCACAGGGAGGTTGCCCACTTCGGTGGGCGGTGGGAGGTGGCCCTCTTGGGGGGGCGGTGTACCATGCGGGTTGCTCCTGGTACTTCTCTGATAGCAGAGTGGACCTTGGAGCAACCCCATGGTTGTGGTGGTCTGCTTTGGCAGACCTGCCGTCGGGGCGTCGTAGTTGAATGCGTAAGCGATCCTGCGACGCCCCATTAAGACGGGGGAAGGTTTTGTTGGGTTTTAGTGGGTAGTACTGGCTGTATTACGCCGGTGAGTCCCACACGTCGTGCGTAAATGCATTTCCCAACGTTAAAAAAAAAAAAGGGAGTTCACAGGTAGAAATCGTCACGTAACGAAAAAGGTTTATGCTTTATTATTTACTAAGATCATCTCATGTGACATCATCACAAGTACCAGGCGAGCATAAGTGTTAAAGATATCGTATGCACTATTTGACGAAGCCCTACAAAAAAAAACAAAAATGTTTAACAATTGCGGACCTTAATCTCCAACATTGAAAAGAATCGAGATGATTGATAAGAATCGTCTGCAAAGTATCAAATAATAAATATATGTAATAAAATGAGTTTATGTTATGCCAGGACAACACCGTTTTATGAGAGAACGTAAAATAATACATATAGATGCTACGTAATTATACATATTGTATACAAATATAATTCAAAGAAGTGATTATAATTATGGACTATATTAAAATTATCTATAATTTACATCGGCACAATTATAAAATTGTAACAGAATTGTCGGTACATTGAATATATGTATTTGCATAAAACAAAAAGTTTACGAATCGATATTCAGATTAACTTAATTCAAATCGCAAATTTCTTAATTTTTTCCCAATTTCTGTCACTCCAAATTATTTTTTTAAAATTGAACATTTAGTAAGACTTTTTGTGTTAGTAAGTTAATGGCTAGACTTATATACAAGCGAGTGTGTTATATTTCATCAGACTATGACATCGGGAGCACGGGAGCTGTTAGTAAGCTTCAAAATCAGGGGGGAAATGGCCTATGCTCGTTCTGACCACGGTGATATTGTAGCCGAGGCATTACGCCAATCTGTGGTATTCGTTCAATGTAACTAATAAGCCTGTCATAAAGGACTGCACTAGTGGTCCAGTGCGTTTGAATTCAATTATCAATCATAAATTAGCCAATTTAGACTCCATTTCATAGTTCCATTTAGTTTTCCATAGTGTATATGTGCTGTGTTTTCTATTAGCCGATAACCATCATTGAGCTATTCCCTTTATTAAAACAATACTCTCTCTCTCTCTCTTGACAATATTCCTAAATTCAAATACTATGTATGTATTTATTGCATTTTCTTACGAAAGCCGTCTAAAGAAGCTGGCTTTTAAGACCGTAAAATCACTCACAAAAATTAAAAAGAGTCTTTTTGTCGTAGCATGTCATAAAAGAGTTCATCTTAATTCTTCATTTAATTCAATCAGAAGACATCGAATATATTTATGCTACGCAACAATCATACTGCAGAAAAATATATTATATTTCAATAAAAATCTAGATAACTTTAATTTCAAACGAGATGTAGGATTCTGATTAAACAGAAATTGCTAGCGAAGCCGCAAGCTTCGTAGAAGCTAGTAATTTAATATACAAATTATATCTCATTATTTATGGTTCATAATTATAAGCACTATTGAATAGTTAATTTAACCGGTATTTATAGCTGGTCGTAGAAAAGTAAAATTTGGAGGACGTATTTCTTATATGGTTACGTATCGGATACAATAAGGATTTTTTGAAATTCTTCCCCTAAGGAGATAAAACAAAAGGGATGAAAAATTCTATGAAACTCTGTCATTCTTAATGTAAAATGCGGGGAAAGTTGTATTTAGTTTTAAGATTAAAAATAAGAAATATATTTATTAGATTTTTTCGAAATTCTTTCCTTAAAGGGCTAAAAGGGGATGATGAAGTTTATATGGGCAAAATACACTAAAATAAGGAAAATAACTAAATTAGAAGATGTAATATCCAAAGTACGGGCATTGAAGTGAAAATGGACAGCATACAATGAAAGCAAAAATATACAAATGGACAAGAGATGTCACAGTGTTACCCAAGAGACGGGAAAAGGGAACAAGGTAGGCAGTTCAAAAGAAGCCAAAAGTCCCTAAAAATTGGAAGAGACCACTAGTCAAGGAAGAGATAAATGGAAAAAATTGGAGGAGGCCTATGTCGCAAGACAACTTGACCCAGTTGTGATAGGAAACTATAAAAATATCTATCAAAACTAAAAAGGATGAATAAATATAAGCTTAATAGATTATATTTATTATTTTTACTAACATTTATATCATTTTTTTTAACTTTTGCTAATGAAAAAGTTAAAAAAATCAATAAAAACTAAAAAGTGTAAACAGCGATTGTAATGTTAATATGGGATTTTTTTATAATCTGTATTACTTGAAACCTAGTATTTAAAATTAAACCTAGTATCTTAAACCTAGATCTTCAATTGAATTAAATAAAAACGTGTTCGAATCGGTATGAAATATGAAACAGTCAAATGACGAAATTATAAAATTGTTGCTTATATCTTTTGGCTACGAAACCCCAAAAATAATGTCTCTCAATATTTCTACAGAACATTAAAATTAAAAGTTTTAATGTTTAGTATAAATTAATGTTTCGTTTCATTCGTTTTACCGTAGCGGCTCAGTTGAATTCACCCCTTAATTTTATTATGCAAAAGCAATCAAATATTTAAATGTTTGGACAAGCACCATATCCATACTAATATTATAAACGTAAAAGTGCGTTTATTTGTTTGTTCTTCTTTCACGTCCAAGCAGTGACGAATTAACGTGATTTTTTGTGTGGAGATGAGTTGGAAAACTGATAGTGACATTGCTCCGTTTTACCGCGGTAGATTACACAGGTTTGCGATGGTTTTCCCTTAAAAACTGATCAGCAACTATTATATTAGGTACTAAGCTATGAAAAAAATAATTAAAAATTCCAGCACGTTAATTT